TTTTGATCGGTCTCCTCGACGCTCTTTCTCGTTTGGTGCGGTAGCTGGTCTTTCTTTCTATCATTTTGTTTCTCTTCCGAGTGGTTTTTGTACCCTAGTTTTTTCTGTTTCTTCGTGGGGTCGTGTATGCCGGGTTTTGAGACCACGGGCTCCCAATCTTTTTTTTTTATTTTAGAGCTAATGTGAGAAACAACAACAACAACAACAAACTAAAAATTGTGTATGAAAACATGCTAACAAAAGTTTCGTACTGTCAAGAGCATTCAGGAAATACCCGCACCGGCACCCAAATCGAAAAACTCACGGAGCTAGGCTGGTTACCCCACACACGACTTTTCACCAGGTAACGGGCGACAGCGGCAGCTAAACACACCCTGTTTTGGAGGCAAAATGTGCAGGCAAATGCCCATTTCTCAACAACCACATGGGCTAGAACCTTGGAACCACCGTCAAAAGTTGCGTACATATGTCCCAGCAAAAGACGGGCCAAACAATTACACCCTGTCGTCCCCAGGCGGTTGTTTACCTCGGGCTGTAGGTGCCGCATCGGTACTGCTGTACATGTCCAAAATGTATCATTTTTTCAATTTTTGGACACCAGACCACTTCTTTTTTCAGGAGACCGATTGCAACGAACTCCTGTGACACACAGAACACCACCGGTTCGATACATGCTCCATTCGCGCACTCTGGTGACCTCTACCAGGGTCTAAACGAGTGTTGTATACCCCGGGTGTTATATTCCGTCATGGTGGCAGGTGTAGGCGGTGAGGTCTCGGGAAGGGCATGCTTTGAGTTTGACAAAACTACTATGCAGAATGGCACGATACTTCACAGGAGGTCTCAGTCAAGGTATACCAGGGCCTGTGCAAGCCGGGAGGAACTCTCGTGGCTTGTATCTCAAAGTGTCGTCAAAGAGTCGACACATGAACGTGAGCGCAGGTGCTTGCTGGGGACCGGCGGGGAAGGAATCAGCCACACCAGGCTCACCTCTTGATTTCTGCCTCCCGGACATATCCACCCCCACAAATCCCAGTGCCCACTCCCACAAGCTATATCAGCAGCCTCCTCCAGCGGCTGCTCCTCCCGTTAGCCCAGTTCTCACAACTCACGGGTGTGGCGTCGGTGCGAATTGGCGCGAATTTACGGGGCCCGGTTTTTTCCATCTACCATGTAAAAATATTTGAATCACGGAGCCCCCATGCAACCGAGTGGGATGGGCTGAAAGCAGCAGTAGTGTTAGCGATGTGAGATTCACCGAGTGGGATGTTGTGAGCAGAAGCGGGAGGGTTAAGATATAATGCAGGGGTGCTTTTACCCCCATGAATGCGTTCGGGAGCAGTATTGCCTAGTCGTTCAAGGTCAAAGACGACAAGGATATACTTGTATCATCGGCCAGGAGAGGAAGAGGGTCCGGGCGACCAGTTCATACACAAGATGGCTTTTTCTACGGGTGATGTTGAGACCGAGCCGGAGGCTGTCGTAAAGACGTGTATCCAGGCGTTTGAGAGGGAGTCTGAACGTGGATGTAAACGTAAATGTGTACGTAAATGTAAACATAAATGTAATTTAATTTCAAGTTTTTTAACTACACCGAACCAAAACAAATCACACGACGGACGCCACGGGCGCCGGCGCTGCTGCGTCCGGCTGCGGCTGAATCTCGACCAGCTTCCGCGACGGGATGGATCTTTCGTCGTGGTAGTCAACAAAATTCCCCGAAACCTTGCGCGCGCGCGTCTTCTCGCCCCTCGGTTTTGTCGCGTCCGTATCGCTGCTTATCCTGAACGAGAGCAGCCCGACCACCACGTACCCTACGAATCCACAAGCCACAACCATACCGATCCAAAGACCGATAACCCGGACACCCGTCGAAAAAGAATCGGGGGCGCGAAACAACGGCCACGCCCAGGGCTGCAGAGATTGCCACGAAAACTTCAGGTCTGCTTCGTCCCAGCCCTCCACCGCGGCCCAGATCCCCACCCCAAAGCTCACGAGCACACAGAAAGCATATAGTCTACCCAGGACGAAAAATCCTCCGGCAAAATATGAGAAGCATCAAAACCCCCATGAACATGATCAACATATAGGCGAAACAAAATAATTAAACAACTCGGAACTCCACACAACGAGGAACAACCACACTAAACCACCGACAATAAAACAGGCGAAAAATCCCGCGAACACGTACAGCAGCCACACGAGAGCCAGCATACCCGCGCAGACGCTTGCCCACACCCCGAGCTGCACGCACAGGATCATCCTGTACAACGAAAACCCCCACGTCAACACCGCCTGTCCCACCGATTCCAGCGCAACCACCTGCGCCGACGCCAGGACCAAGGCCGTGAGCAGCAGCACCCTGTCGTCCAGGAGGTCCGCGAGCGCCACGATCGTCACAAGCACGCCCTGCACCGCCCGCTCCGTCCCGTGTATCCCGCTGGGGACCAACAGATTGTCGTACCAGTCGGCCGACCTGACCCTCAGCACCTTGGTCAGGGCGCCCTGGACGCGGTAGCCTGCCGCCGCCACCAGGAGCGTCCCGACGACCCCCGGTCTCCACAAGCTCTCGGCAAAAAACACCAGGAGCGTGCCCCCAACGGCGAGCAAAGAGTTGGCGAACAGCGGACGCCCGAGGCCCCACTCCATCAACACCTCCTCCTCGCGAGCGGACAGCACGAAGTTTTCGCGGAGGTAGAAATACTCTTCGGTATCCCCCACACCGCCAGGACGGCGTGCGCCGTGTTCACCACGCGGACGAGCTCTCCCTTCGGCATGGACAACCCTTCCCGAAAAACAACCACGCCGTCGTTCAATTCTACGCCGATGCGCCGTCCTTCCACGCAGTCGCCGACGTCATCGTCCCCGACAAAGTACCACCGCTTCCCGGGATTTTGGATCGCGAGAGCGGGCGGTGCGCTCCAGGTCTCCCAGCCCGGGGCAGCAGCAGAAGCAGTGGGTGATGTGGCCGCGTACTCGAGCCTCTCGCCGGCCTCCACCCGCACCGTCCCGTCCCCGAGGTGCACCCTGACGACCGCAGCGAGCTTCTTCACCGTGCCCATGGGAATCTCGTAGGCGAAGAGCTCGATCCGTACTCGCTGACGACGCACCCACTCACCAACTGTAAATTTAAAAACGCCGGGAAAAAATGGAAATGTGAGAATGTGAAAATTAGAAAATTAGAAAATTTCTCAACGAGTGTGGGGCGGGAGAGAGTTAATGCGGAGAGAGCGTTAATACGGAGGCAAAGGGAGGCCAAGGGACGCCGGCAACAAAGCCATACATTTATTAAACAAACGCAGCAGCAGCAGCACCTCGTCGAGTCGTGCGTGGGTCAGCAGCAGCCGCACCAGCCGCTGCCGCTGCGCTTGTCGGTGACGCTGCTGGACGTTTGCGCTGACGCTGGTACCCCCCTATCCGCCGCCATGGTCAGGCTGTAGATTGGCGCCGGGGGCGAGACGCCCACCCCCCCTCTCTTCCGCCATGGGTTGGTTGTTATCAGAAATGAGGACGAATTCCGACCATGAATCGAATATATTTGTGCTACGTACGAGGGAGCAACCTTGCGGCTTTCGTGCACACAGCGCGCACCAGCCGTTCTCAACAAGACCCGGGTGTGCACTCACGGGCCTGCAAATAGAGCAGGCCGGACGCTATAGTTCATTGATCTTGATTGTGCGTGTGCAGAGAAACTATTCCGTACCCCTAACAGACGTTTCAACGGCGTCATGGCGCTGCTCCCGGTGATTGCTTGGCCAAGAACCGTCACCAACTGTGGACACGAATCGGGCACCGGTGCACGAAAGCAATCATTCCAGCCAATCCATCCTAAAAATGTACCTACGCCCACCTACCGTAAGCCAGAGATGGACGGGGCCGTCACAGCTCTCTTCCTTCCTTCCGGTGTCTGCTTGGTCAGCAAGCATCACCAACTCTGAAACAAAAATCGTGCACCGGTGCACGGAAGCAATCACTACAGCCAATCCATCCCAAAAATATACTATACCAACGCTCACTCACCTGTTCTAGAACCAGCCGTCACAGCTCTCTTCCTTCCCCCCTCCCTTTTGGATTGCTTGGTCCAGGACCGTCACCAACGTTGCCGTAGAAATCGTGCACCGGTGCACGGAAGCAATCATTCCAGCGAATTAATCTTGAAAGTGTACCTACGGTCGTCTGAAAAAGCCAGGGATGGACAGGGCAGTCAGAGCTATCTACCATTCATTTGGATTGCTTGGTCAAGGACCGTCAACAACTGTGCAATACAAATCGTGCACCGGTGCACGGAAGCAATCATTCCAAAAACCCAGTCTTGAAAGTGTACCTACGGTCGTCTGATAGACCAGAGATGGACAGGGAAGTCAGAGCTATCTACCTTTCTTTTGGATTGCTTGGTCAAGGACCGTCAACAACTGTGCCGTACAAATCGTGCACCGGTGCACGGAAGCAATCATTCCAAAAACCCAGTCTTGAAAGTGTACCTACGGTCACCGAAAGCCAGGGATGGACAGGGCAGTCAGAGCTATCTACCTTTCTTTTGGATTGCTTGGTCAAGCACCGTCAACAACTGTGCCATACAAATCGTGCACGGGTGCACGGAAGCAATCATTCCAGCCAAGCCATCGTGTAAATAAACCTGCGCCCGCCTATCTGAAAGCCAGAGATGGACGGGTCCTTCCTTCCTTCCTTCTCGATGATGGCTTGGTCAAGAACCGTCACCAACTGTGAATAAAATCGTGCACTGGTGCACTGAACCAGCACTCACTCGATGGAAGATCATCAAGCCCCTCGATAGTCTATAGACAACTAGAGACGGGTACAAACACACCAAACATGGGGTTCATTTTGAGTTTTTACGTGTGAGCATTGTTCGTGTCCAGGTTGACTGATGGGTCTCGTTGTTCTTGTGCTTCTCTCTCGAGACGTAATTTGGCACCGTGAAAACCTCTGGCTTAGGTCGCGGACTCCCTCTTGGCGAGGCCGGGTGTGGTAGGTGCTGGGGCCGATGGCTAGTCATGCGCAATTCGATGTCGTGTCAGAGATAGCGTACGTACATAGACTATGCGTTTGTTTTCTGTCTGCGGCGTGTGTGTTTAAAAACCCGGGTCAGAGCAGAGCAACAAGCAAATGTTCCGACGCGTGTGTGTGTCTACGTCAGCCACAAGCGACACCCTCACGGCAGCACTTAGCGTATACCGCGCACGCACCCGTCTGGTATGCTGCTGGTGTGTTGCCTGTGGCTAACCTTGAGACAGATCTCGTGTGCGAGCTGACTCCTGATTCAGTCTGCACCAAGGGAGGCCGTGTTCTGAAACAAAGAAGTATGTTTTCTTGATGGAATTATTTATCATCGGGTCGTCCTTAGAAACCAGGAAGAAATGAAGACTGAGGGGTGCGGCGAGCACGGGGCTGCACCGCACCTCGAATACCACACCGACGGAAAGCCGCACTCGAACGCGCACCCAAAAAATGCATGCTAACCAATCCCGTTTAGGACGGTACCGAAGGTCCCTCTCAAGACAAGTCCGACGCGCATACGTACACACAACACCTCGTGCAACTCAACCAACCAATCATCCGACTCAATCAACCAATCACACGTGCTACGCTCTAGAAATTCTTCTCTGGAATACGTCTGGAAGACCAGACTAAAACAACAGAGAGAGAGAGGAAAAACAACTTGTAGACCCTTTGGTCCTCCTACTACTTGCTCCTGTTTACACTGACAGGCACGCCTGTACCGATGATGTGCAGACGTAACGAGTTCGTACATTATGCTGCAGCTACTGCTACGTTCTACAGTAGTACGACACTGCAGGTAAAAAGTACTGATTCGCGACACTCCCCCCATGGTCGAACAAGTTTTGCCTTGCGATCGAGCGTAGCGTTCCTACCCCTACGACAAGCAGCAGCAGAATCAACGGCAGCCCCACCTGAAATCGTTTACCTATTTAAAGAAGTCGGTTGAATGTCAAAGACTTATAGACTAGATGAAGTACCCCCAAGTCAAGTCAAGCAATCAATACGGCCGATTTAGCCTCGCTTTCATCGTCGTCCCCTTCGTGAGCGTCGTACCCTCTTCACCTTGCCGTCGTGGACCTTGACACTCCGGGAAACGGCGTTGGCCTTACGCTTCTTGTTCTTTCCCGGCACTGGTATTCCGTACATCACATCATGTAGTTCGAAGGCGATCTTCTCCTCCTCCAGCTCATCGATCTGTGCCCTTGGGTTGCGTAGCCCCAACCTGCGATCGAGATTGGAGTGCAATAAGTCGGCACCTTGTATGTAGGGGAGGATCTTTTTGGTCATCTCGTTGAAGAAGATGCGTAGAGATGATGTACTTGCCCCTTCGTCCTTGTACTCTTCCCTTGCAATGAAGGTCTCATATGAGCCCTCGGCCTCCAGCGCCGCACGCAGAATCTCAATTGTTGAGTCTTCCCACCAATCCGTAAGTCTCGTAGGTTTCGGCGCGCCCTTCGCGTCCTTCTTCTCTGCTTCCCCGAGAATCTCCTGGACTACTTCTCCGTCTCCATACACCAGCGGCTCCGTGTCCACCCCCTCCCTCGCCTCCAGCGGTGCCACGAGCTCCCTGACCCTGTCCTTGTAGCAACCGTAATCGTGCACCTGGACCCTATAGTTGTACCCCGGGAAAACGTCCTCGTAGAGCATCTTGAGGAATGATTGCAAGGTCACTTTGGCGTTAGCATTCGTAACCACCTCGAAAGCCATCCGCAACACCGCCGCGCCACCCACGACCTCCTTGACGATGACACAGTTCTTGACACTTCGGGGATTTTGTTTTTTGCTGAAATCGGGGTCGGCTAAGCGCTTGTCTATCTTCTTGAGCATGTCCTCGGACTTGCCGTCCCCACTGACGCCCAGTTTTTCCGGGTTGGGGAGCGTCAGCGACAGGTGCGTAAACCTCCTAGTTTTACTGCCCGGTTTAGTGAAAGATTTATAGAACTCTGGTTTGTCGTCCTCGGAGAGGAACTGTGGGGAGTCTACCGTGGGTTCGTTTTCCTCTCCTCCCCCGTGTGCCGACAGAACTTTATCCTCGTCGGAATGCACACTCGACGCTTGGTCGTCGGTGGGGATCCCCGGGACAATCTCGGCACGGGGAGCGTGGACCTCCGGCACAACATTATTAACACCCACGGCCGAAGCGTTGGCGATGATGTCCGTGTCATCGGGAGGTGGTAACCAATTGCCCTCGAGCAAAAAGCCGAGTAGACTGTCGTCGTCGGAAGTGACCTCCGTCCCGTTCTGTGCTTTGTATGTTTCGTCAATGCTAACACTTTCGTTGGGATTGAACTCGCCCAGGTCGGCGCCCTGGGAGGAAGAAAAAGAAGCCATGGCCATTTTCTCGGAGCCTCGGGGAGGGAGCCGCTTCGGAGTCAGTCTCGGTCAGAGAGGAAGTGGCCACTACTCTAGGTGGCAACCTCGCAACCGTCGGCGGGAATGGCTAGATGGTAGATTTCTGTCGACAAAATGTTTGGGTCAAAGACTGGGGAGTGAGCGCGAGCGAAGCCGTTTCGTTCGACTACTAGGCTGCTCACTGCCCTGCCTGCTTCTCTGTTGCTAACTAACTAAACAAGTGTAGACGGGGGGGAATGAACGGGACAGCCGTGAGATGGTTCGGTTCGGCAAGCCCTTGCTGGCCGTTGACTGTGTAGAACGGTATTTCATGCATACATATGTACACGCGTAGGTGGTGGCAGAGATAAATAGAAGCACTTCTATATATGTATGTATATAGTCTAGTGCCGCTGCGGGTCGGGACGATTTATCGCTTGGTTCCGGCGATTCGGAGGTCCTTTGAGTAGTTTATGTTGTTCTTGTTACTGTTTATCAACGTTGATCTTATTGTCGCTGTTGTGCATTCATTATTTTTTCTCCGCTTGCCGCTCCTGACAACGTAAAATCACTCGTCAACCTGCTTGATGTTTACCATGTATGTGGTGCAACCTACACATATGTACATGCTGGTGCTTCTACGTACATGCACATACATAGGGATGCATGCTCGAAGTCTACCCTGACTGGCCGAGTATTTCTCACCTCAAGAAAAGACGCCGACAAGAAAGCAGTGGTGGGAGCGTTGGCGTTGTGAGAGGGAGGGGGCGGGGCGCGCACCAAGGCGGATCAACTCCTCAGCCGTGCAACAAAATGCCGACTGACTCTTGGGATGGTCTCTGAAGATCCGTACCGGCCCAACAAAACATTCCCCGAGGGCTGCGCGCCTTTCCCGGACGCTTTTGGCTGTGATTTCTGCGGCTGGCTCCCCGCAGCAGCTAAACCCTAGACTGCTCGTTGTATCCGGCACGGGTCTGTCCTCGCGCGCTGCACGCACTCGGCGAGGCCAAGCGAGAACGTCCGCGAGGCATGAAAGCCACATCCCCACCCCATTAACCATGGCTGGCCCGGCGCGCGTCCGCTTCACCGACCACCTGTCAATCAATCTGTGTTGAGCCGAGATTGAGCTACATACGATTTTTTTGTGCTCGCGTGGGAGAACATTTTACTGCGTACTGCCGTAGCGCGGGCGCTGATTGAACGCTTCAGGTGTAGACAATGCCTTCGTATGCGTTGTGTGTGTGCGCGTGTGTGTGTGCGCGCGTGTGTGCGTAACGTGCGTGCACCTCTCAACTCCTCGCAAGAAGGAGGTGTGAGGCGTGAGGCAGCTGGTGTGAGGCATCGAGCACCGAGCATCGAGGCAGCAGGAGGTTCCGGGTGTTCACTACGTGCCGGTTCGGGAAACATTTTTTGTTGTCGTTGGCTTTTTCGCCGCGACTCATCCATCACTCATCACACATACACGACAGCAGCAGTGCGCGAGAGGCGACGACTGGCGAAAAGCTAGGGTGTGTGAAGTGCTCACCATAGAACACCGTGCTGTCTCCCCTGTTCGGTAATCCTTCCCGAGAGTCGTGCCTTTCCATGAAGGACATGTGGGCACCGTTGTCTTTGGAATCCAGGATCTTGTTGAACTCGTCACCAAGGGAGGACATTTTCACGACAACCATGTTGTGGACGGGACGTAGAGTGTCATCCTACTTCCGGGTGTTCGCTTTACAAACTTATATGTAGTACCCTATATTTTTGGAAACGGCGTGGTTTGTACGAACAAAGTTCACAGCCTCTCCCACCGCATGGTCTCCGTGCGGGCCGGGAGGAGTTTCAAAGGGGGTGTAACTCACCAGCTAACCGCCCGGACCCTAACGACCTTAGCCCTTTCCTGAGAGTGGAGTGGGGAGGGAGCAGATGGGAAATAAATCGGTGTGGGAGCATAGACCATGTATCCTCGACCAGGCCAACAACGATGACGCGGATCTTTTAATGGCTGTAACATATCGTGCACCGGTGCACGGAACCAATCCTACGCTCACCTACTCGAAACACCAGAGATGAACAGGGCCCCCACAGCTATCTCCCTTTCATTTTGCTAGGTCAAGAAGAGTCACCAACTGTGAATGGCTGTAACATATCGTGCACCGGTGCACGGAACCAATCCTACGCTCACCTACTCGAAACACCAGAGATGAACAGGGCCCCCACAGCTATCTCCCTTTCATTTTGCTAGGTCAAGAAGAGTCACCAACTGTGAGTACAAATCGTGCACCGGTGCACGGAACCAATCACTCGAGCAAACCCAACTGGAAAAAACAAATATTCTCACCTACCCGAAACACCAGAGATGAACAGGGCCCCCACAGCTATCTCCCTTCCCGATTCCTTGGTCAAGAAGAGTCACCAATTGTGAGTACAAGTCGTGCACCGGTGCACGGAACCAATCACTCGAGCAAACCCATCTGGAAAAAATATATATTCTTACCTACTCGAAACACCGGAGATGAACAGGGCCCCCACGGCTATCTCCCTCTCCTTTTGCTTGGTCAAGAAGAGTCACTAACTGTGAGTACAAGTCGTGCACCGGTGCGCGGAACCAATCATTCGAGCAAAACCATCTGGACAATACACCTACGGCTTACCTACCGAAAATCAAGAGATGAACAGGGCCGTCCCACCTCTCTGCCTTCCCGATCGCTTGGTAAGGAACCGTCACCAACTGTGAGTACAAATCGTGCACCGATGCACGGAACCGATCTTCGAGCAAAACCATCTGGAAAATACATCTACGGCTTAACTACCGAAAAACAAGAGATGAACAGGGCCGTCTCACAACTATCTCCCTTCCCGATTGCTTGGTAAGGAACCGTCACGAACTGTGAATACAAAATCGTGCACCGATGCACGGAACCGATCAATCGGGCCTATCAATCGAGAAAATACACCTACGGCTTACCTACCGGAAATCAGAGATGAACAGCGGTCTCGACAATCTCCCTTCTCCCGATTGCTTGGTAAGGAACCGTCACCAACTGCGAGTACAAATCGTGCACTTGGAAAGAGATGAACGGGGCCGTATCTGCTGTCTCCCTTCCCGATTGCTTGGTCAAGAAGTGTCACCAACTGTGAGTACAAATCGTGCACCGGTGCACGGAACCGATCCCTCCAGCAAGTACCATATATATTATTTTCGACATGAAGCTACGGTCATCTGAAAATACAGAGATGACCAGGGCCGTCTCAGCTATCTCTCTTCCCGAGTGCTTGATACGGAAATCGTGCACCGGTGCACGGAACCGATTATTCTAGCAAACATATCTGGAAGGTATACCGACGGCTCACCTACCCGAATGCCGGAGATGAACAGAACCGTCTCAGCTATCTCCCGACCCGATTGCTTGGCAAGGAACCGTCCCCAACTGTGAATACAAATCGTGCACCGGTGCACGGAGCCGATCACTCGAGAAACAACATCTGGATGGTATACCTACTGCTCACCTACCGAAAACCAGAGATGAACAGACCCGTCTCAGCAATCTCCCTTCCCGATTGCTTGGTCGAGAAGTGTCACCAACTGTGAATTCAAATCGTGCACCGGTGCACGGAACCGACCAAACGTTCGTCAAAGAATCTGTTCCGTCCAGATTTTCCGGTCTTCTAAGCCACTTCCCTGCCACAACCAAAACTTACCCCCATCACTCCCAAACCCTACCGAAGGCTACAAGAACTCAACTAAGACCGAAAAACACACTACAGACACGTTGATATGTCGAACGAGAAGAAGCAGGTCTCGCCCCCCGGCTCTTCCTCAGAGTTCTTGTTCGGGATCTTCGGAGAGCGCGACCCGGGTCTAATCCTATATGGAACTCCTACGACAGAAAGGCCTCCTGTTCGTAGGTACATCCCACCGACCAAGTCTTCCACTCGGGCTCGCGGTAAAAATAACGTTTGTGAACATGAATCGTGCACCAAGATTCCAAGTTTCTCCGCTATCGGAACCAAGCCCAGGCGGTGCGGTACTCACAGGGTGCCGGGAGACATTAACGTTCGACACAGGCTTTGTTCGGTCGAAGGGTGTGCCGGTCGCGCTAGATTTGGGATCGATGGATCTCCTGCGACTCGTTGTGGAACGCACCGGCTCGACGGGTCGCGAAATGTAACCGTGAGGACTTGCGCATTCCCGGGATGCACCGTTTCCCCCAGCTACAGCCCCAACGAAAACACCAAGCCCGAGAGGTGCGCGCTCCACAAGGTCGATGGAGACATCGTCACTTCCAGGGAAACATGCTCTGTCCATGGATGTGCCAAGAGGCCGTGTCTCGTCGACAATACCGGAAACAACAAGCACTGCCTGCAGCACTACAACCCCGAGACCGACAAGGGGATACTCTACCTCATGTGCCAAGAGCCCGGGTGCAAGAAACACGCCACCTTCTCCGAGACCAAGAATCGCCCCCTTCGGTGCCTCAAGCACAAGAAGAGGGGAACGGACCGTGACGTAGTGAACACAATGTGTGAGTTCGAAGATTGTCTGAGGCGCCCTTCGTTTGCCCCCATGGGCTCGGGAGCCAAGCGCTGCAAGCACCATTCATTTATGGGGGATGAAAACGTCAACAGTATTAGGTGCTCACACGAGGGATGCCGCGTGACTGTTGGTCGCAAGAGCAAGACATGTGGGATTCACTCGCAGATGCCGATCGCATGAATCGGGACTGCACACGGTGTCTTGGGTCTGTCTTTGTGCCCTTGGGTCTTGGTGTGCATGTTCTTTTTTGTTGCTTCGCGGAAGCTTGTTGCTGGCGGCACTCAGGATAGTTGGATGTACGCGCTGGAAATCAATATCGTATTGGTGAAATGTATGATAGCATGGGAAAAATATTTTCGTTGTTTTATTTGGTAATGTTTGCGGTTCGTGCAATCTACGTATGTATATGTATGTATCAATAGCGTCGTCATATCAAGCAGAAGTAAGACATTGTGAGTGAAATTTTTGTTGGATACATCATCTGGAATTGTCGGACCGCAAATAATAAAAATAATAATATATATCGGGTGTACCATCTGCGTTCAGGTGTCCGAATATTGGGCTTTGAATATCGGTTGGGTTGTGTGCCAGCACCATCTACCGCGGGTCTTCTGCGCGTTTCAAGAGCATAGCCTGGCGTTGGCGTGAACAGCATCTACCTGATTTGTAGAGTAGAGATTCATTCTTCGAATGCACCCTTGAAGTGCCTGTTCGGGTCGTAGATCGGGGGTGTATCGTAGCCATGCCTCGTTGAATTGATTGTGGGATGTTGTTGTGACGGGATCGACAAGCAGAGCCACGAACAAAGAGAAGCAGCAACCGGTTCGTGGTGCGTTGTCGGATTTGCACTGGTTTGAATGAATCGGCACAGAAGGAAAAAAAAAGTAACCAGACACGACGTCCTGGTAGCCCTAGTTTAACCCTTGGCTTTACTGCAACCTAGGCGCGTGTAGGGCTAGCAGCCCTAATTAACCCTATGTTTTCACCGCAACCTAGGCGCGTGTAGGGCTAGCAACCCTAATTTACCCTGTGTTTTCACCGCAATCGAGTCCGTGTAGGGCTAGCAACCCTAATGTAACCCATGGTTTCACCTCAATCGAGCCCGTGCGGGCTAGGGCCCTAACCCTAACCCTAACCCTAACCCTAACCCTAACCCTAACCCTAACCCTAACCCTAACCCTAACCCTAACCCTAACCCTAACCCTAACCCTTACCCTTACCCTTACCCTTAATCGTACATCATTCGTCAGTGACAAAGACGGCGCAGAATACTGCCCCGAGGTCATTTTACGAACTACGTTGAATCATCGTAACGGACAACTGAACAGGGTGGACGATAGCTCGGAGGGGCACCTAAATATCCAGAATTACGGGCCACCGAGAGCACCTACAAACAATTGGTGTCTCCATTTCAGGAAGAGCTAGGCATCTTCGAGGTATAACGCTCTACCTTATTCCACACAAGAAACAAACATTGTTGGTCTTCCGTAAAAAGCACTACCAGGGGAGCTATTCTGTGGGAAGGGAAGGATCGTCGGTGACTCTATTCCTTGACCCGAGAGTATTTCTGATTGGTGGGCTTATGTTGAGTCGCAAACATGTTATCACTGTGAGGTTGTTAAGGAGTGTTGCTGTATGGCACAGATAGGGTACACAGTCGGTCTAGATTAAGATGGGGGACGTC